ACTCAAAACTCAGAGATATGGCTTTCAGATACGAGTTCACTCTCAATTGGCTATGGCGACTTCAGTGCCCAAACATCTCACTGTTCACATACACTGGATCACCCTGGATATCCCACACACATCACTCTAACACTCAAACACACACACACACTCACTACTAACTACAGCTATGGCAGCTATCGCTGCATCTAACCTATCGCTAGACTAACTCCCTCTCTCTTGCCCACTGCGTCCTCCGGGATCATCTGCAGACCTCCTTGCACAAGTCGCTGTGGCAGCGCTTCCGCATGGCTCACGCAGTGATCAATGAATGGCTGGGCACTGCCCCTTGATTTATACTTCAGAAACTCGTTGGTCTGCCCTTTGCCATCGGCCCTTGGTGCTCACAGTCCCCCTGTGGTACTTGCTGGACCGGACTGGGACTGACTGGACCTTCCGCTGACTGACTGTGGACTCACCGCTATCCTACCGACGTTGTACTGCTGTTGCACTGCGGTTTAGTCCACCACTTGCCTCGCCACTTGACCACTTGCCCACTTGCCTACCTTCTAGAAGGTCTACAGCTAAGCTTCCGGAACTCACTAAGACTTCTACGCTATAGACCTACAGATCGAACCCCTACTGCCTATGGCCTACGACAGACCTACCAACTATCTGCTAATACACAGGTCACAGGTTCAATTCTCGGGATCTATACAGATACTGTACATAGGTAGGGTGAGGTCTAGGGGTCGAATCCTGGGTACTGCATCCGCTACTGCTAAAAGGTGAAAACCGTTTCACCCCTGTTTTTCTTTCACTTTTGAATTGTCTATATTGTGAGTAAACTCACTAGAGAGCAATCCTTTGCCCACACTACGACAATTGGCCACTGTTAGGTTGACCACCAAGTGCTTCAAAATTCACAAAAGGAGCCGCCTTACAAGGCACTCTCATGGTGTGTCAATACCATCTTGCAAGAGCAATTGAGAGGACACCAATTCTATACCGCCCTGGTGGGTAAACACCATACTTGCAGCGCACCAGCGCGGATCTGAGATGCGCGAGCACCACGCACAAAACACGCATAGGTGCAGTGTACATGCAGGGCCCTACTTTACTGGTGCCTGCACTTTTTTTTTTTTTTTTTTTTTTTTTTCCGTCTGTGTTGTTTGATTATTGCCGTATATCGAGGGCACAACGTGACCTCGTGGAGGTTCATGAACTACGAGGAGGGTGCGTTGTGACTTCAAATGTATCCAAGCCGGCATCTGAGGTTGATACAGTTATGATGAGGTGGAGCTCTTCTTTCAATTTCCTTCACGCACTCACCATGACTGCATCGGACCTGAAAAATAGCTCCGATACATTGGAGGAGACAACGCACCCTCGATTTCGTGAACAGCAATAGAGGGCAGCATTGTCCACGAATGTATCCTCACCAGTTCTCAGGTTCCATACATTCATGACAAGAGCTGTCAGGGAAATCGGATGTCACAGTGACGAGTCGTGCGCTTCGTTTTTTATATTTTTATCTGTGTCATGCTTGCGCAGGGGATGTACTAATCTCACGAAGTCCGAGGGGCTCTCTCCACTACTCACCACATGCACAGAAGACAAAATTTGTCGGTGTAACTTTCCATGTTCTCGCGGAAGATTCGTTCTCATTTTGCACATTTGGGGCCTCGCCACACTACTCCCGAAAACGCAAAAAAGTTTGAGAGTACTACTTCCGAAAACGCAAAAACGTTTGAGAGTACTCTCGAACTGGGGAATGCTCAAGAACCCGTTCGAGAGCTCTCGAACAGTGCACTATTTAACCTGTCGTCATAGTTTGCCATTGTCCTTTTGCGTGACGTTGTTGTCACTTTGCGGGGCAGAAATTTTCTCGGCCTGGACTTGTTCCTGAGATTTGGGCTGAAGTCGGTCGGCCTTCAAAGGTCTCTTGCGTTTGGCCGTTTACAGGCGGGCGAAGCGAAGGAGTTTGAAAGTAGTCGCTCCTCGCGACAACTCCCGGACTTCATTCTGACTTCCAAGTTCGAGAGTGAGTGTGGCGACACCCTTGCTCTCGAAAACGTGAGTTTCGAGAGTGGTGTAGCGGGCCCCTTGGGCATGCCCCATATCGCTCCAATTTCAACAGATATCCTAGAGGACGTAATGTATCTATGAATGCATCTCTGAAGGAATGTTAAGTTTCTTCAGATCCGGGACAGTCATAATGGGGCTTCGTTGTGCTCTGGCGAACTGGACTGTCATACATATCGCAAGAGCACTACATAAGCTCATCATGACTGTATCCGGCCTCTGGAAGGCACGTTGCGTGCATTCAGAAATTTTATTTTTCTTTTTCAGTTAGTCAGCAGCAAAAAAAATTGTGCGCCTCGGGCGTGGCCATAGAAAAAAAATTGCACGGCCGTTTCTCCCTTTTCGGCCGGGTGGGGGAACTTCGATTCAGCCTCCCCCCCCTCGCCTTTTAGTATTGCGGGTGACCCCGATGTTCACCCTTGCGGCGCACCCGGTGTGCACGCCACATGCGCAATGCGCAGTGCGCCATGTGTGCACCACTGGCATGCACGCAATGTGCCTCAAGTATGGTAAATACACTTGAAAGTTGAAACTATTAATACACAGGCCAGGAGATGAGTGTGACAACCAAACACCAGGTTTCCAGAGCTAATACACGAGAAAATCAGAAAGAAGAATGACCAACACCACCAACCACCACCACAACAAAAACGCCTTACAAAACAAAAACTACCACCATTGGCAAAGACAACTACATGATTAACAACGGCGACGATGATGACAACAACAACCCCATGAACCCACCACTCCCTCTCCGACACTTGTTTGCCCAGAATTCCAAAGCTCATAAATGTCTCAGCTTATTGATACATGATGGCTCCCAACCCTCTCTCCCGCCCCCTGGCCCACCAGCCACCTTGCAGAGACCCAGCCCTCTTCACAGCTTCATGCCAAATGCAAAACCCACGGTGATGATTTTTTTGCTATGGTTACCTTTGCATCTGACTCTCTTCCAACCGTTCGATCCTCTGCCGCCATCTTTCCCCAGCAGTTCATATCCTTCCAGCAGGCTTCGATCAAGAAAGATTTCTGTTCTGCTGGACACCTGCAGAGGTGCCAAAAAGCTGGTCAGCTTTGGGACCTGCAGAGGGGCCAAAAAAGAAAAGAGGGACCTCCAGAGGAGGACCAGAAAAAAAAAGAGGGATCTGCAGACGGGGCCCCCCAAAAAGAAGGGGGACTTGCATGGGTGCCGAAAAGCTGGCAGTTTTGGGGCGTGCAGAGGGCCCAGAAAAGAAAG